TATTCCATATCTCACTGCTAGTTAAGATATATTGGGAAATTATCTTATAATTGTTTGCACGAAGGAAAAATACTGATGAAGTACTTACAGAACACCTAAAATACGCTCTGATATTTTTACTAGATCGGTTTCGCTTTCCTTCCATCTTTTATTATGAAAAACATTCCCCATCTCTCTTGAATCATCCGATTTGTTGAAATTCTCCACGAACTCATTACACTTGGACGCAACTGAAACGGGAAGAGCACATCTCATATTTTCACGCGGTTCCTATGATTTGATAAGAAAATGGTAAAAAAAGCAAGTATAGATAATATACTCTACATTAAATATTTACCAAAAAGACACGCTTCTGTCTCGGCCCCAAGCTTTCCACTATATTCGAATTATCACTAAGTACCATGCTCGCTTCTGGATCTTCCCACGAAAGATCCGAAGGATCTATATCATTAACCCTTTTCTTGAGAGCGTCATATAACGACACGTCTGTATCTATCATAGGATGCTAAAGCATAAAACGATCTTTTATAAATTTTAAAATATGAAAAAAACGATTACAAGAAATACAAAATTCTCTAAAACCCACATTAAGCTTTTCCTTCAGCAGATTAAGATTCTCTTCTATTTCCTCCCCCGCATGATCAGGTGTTGATTCCCTATCCTGTATAAGTGGTTAGTTTATATCAGCGTGTCAATATATATTACAGGATACTATACCATATTCAACACCTTTATTGCATTCAATCCCACTACGCTCATATATCCGCTTTCCATCTATGACAAATGTAAAAAAAATACCGGCATGTTAACTTAGTGAACACTAGAATTTAATAGACGAAACTACTTTCGCATATGATCAGATATTCTAATTCCTTAGCAGAAAGTCACGCAGGGCCAGGGGGGAGCAGAAACCCTCGACATCTGAAGGATACTCCTTTATCCTAACAACATCGCTCTTCCGGGCCGGCATTCCCCGACTTTCAGCAATGACATCTGCCGTAGGTTCATCAGTTCATATAATCTACATGGTTATAAAGTGTATATATATATACTAACCTGTGGTAAAATTTCTAACACTTTCATTCTTCGTTTGGGATTTTCTATTTTAGTCAATGCAGAATTAACCGCGCGATCTGCCAAGTCTCTAACAATATTATATGGAGGCACGGTGCTGTCTTCCATTGTCAAATAAACCACTGTCGCACCACACATAGCATCGAAGGTTTCTTTCATCAAAAAATTTTCAATTTTTACGATTAAGTTAGACATGGTAAAACAGTTTTATAAATCAAAAAAATTATATATTGCTCGATTTGAAGGTGAAAAGAAATAGACAAAACACTATAAGCGACGGATAACCATACTGCCCTTTTTATGCATTTTTCTTCATTTATTCTCTGGAACTCGAAAGTATAGGAAGGTTAGAAGCATGTGCTCTTACATCAAAAAATTTCGATGAAGTATGTATTTCCATGCAGAGAAATTTCTATTAATAATAGAACAGAATTTCTATAGATTATGCATCACGAGTCATAGAGCTATATGCGGTTAAAATCGCTAAAAATAATTAAGGGACTCGATACTCCGTCGTACATGCATACATTGTGCGTATTTAGCATTAGTGAAATCAGAAAATATGTGGCATGAGTTAATTGACCGACTTTGGTTAGGGAGTAATTCCGATAAGTGAAAAATGGCAATTTCTACTTGTGCCCCGTCTCAAATTAGTTATGCACAACGATAAGCCTTGTAAGGTAGTACAAATAAATTTTATATGCGGAATTATTCTAACACATGTTGAATATCTTTGTTACGTGAAAAATTATGTACATATAATAACAGATAATAACTCACGATGATCCCTCAGATTAATTATTCGCATTCACATCGCTTATATATTCCCTCTGAATGGTGATTGCATTCACCACAAACCTTACATCCGTGCTTCCAACCTCTAAAGATATGCCACTTTTCGATGTAATTTCGATTTTTTTTATTTGTTAATACGTTACTCTTATCTTTCATTGTTATATATTAGCCGAAAAAAATATATACGTGTTCTAA